TCCTAATTAAATTAATTAATATGGAATAAAGTTAATTCCTATTTAAATGGAATTAAATAATAAAACATCCCACTAGAGTAATATTATTGCTCTCCCCATTTAGCCACTATTTTACCAATAAAATTGAGCCTCTATGATTAAATAATATTAATTCGATTGATCGATTTACCTTCTTATGTTTAAGATATAACGTCCGTTGATTAATTAAATTACTGACAAAATAATTAATCAACTTCTTATTCATTTCTGAAATTAGTACCACTCAGATCCTTAACCATTATGTCAAACAATCGTCTACTTGCAGGGTTTAACATAATATACATTCCTGAGATCATTTCGGGGACGTCATCAATCCAGCGCACTGGAACATAGTGACCATAAATAATTTATAATAGCACATCATATAATTATTCTTACTTACCAAAATACCTCGTATGTCATCCTAATAAAATAGGAATCACTTGGTAAATCAAATAAATAAGAAATAAAAATATATGCCTATTTTATATTATCTTACAGCTTAAGAGAGCGCATCAATCACTGAAGGTCTAGGTTACAACAACGGTCAGTGAATCTCATATCCTTATTCTTCCGTGGTCTTGTTCAACACTTAACATTAGTGCTAGTGTAATTCTTCAGTCAAAGACCAACTGAATCAAGAATACACTACAGTCTTTTTCCAAGAGGGGTCTCACTGCCTGTCTAGACTGTGAACGAATAGTTTAGTCTTATAAAGAACCGATAGGTGATCTTTCTGTTCGAAACACTTCGAACCACACTATCTCAATATAAGACGTGGAGTATGATTTGCATAAGTAAATAAACTGCAAACATATGTACTTTGACCGAAACATGATGGCCAGACCAAATTGGAATTGATAGAATCTGCAAAACACAGCTTTTACAGCATACCTCTAACAATCTCCCACTTATGCTTTATAAGCTTATGGCTAAACAAAATAACCACAATTTCTTTTAATCTAATTCTCAAAGACTAGTCTACTATGTTGCCCTAACATCTGACTCCCATTCCTTCTACGTGTATTGTAAAGACTTTTGCCGGTAGGCTCTTTGTAAAAGGATCTGCTAGGTTGTCCTCTGACTGTATATTGGCAACAACGACTTATCCTCGTCCAACAATTTCTCGTATCAGGTGGTACTTGCGCTCTATGTGTTTACTCGCTTTATGAGTCCGTGGCTCCTTCGAATTTGCTACTGCTCCGCTGTTATCACATAACACTGTGATTGCAGCGGGCAAACTCGATACCACATCAAGGTCAGGAGAAAATTCCTGAGCCAGACAGCTTCTTTCGCTGCCTCTGAGGCTGCTACATACTCAGCCTCCATGGTTGAGCCCACCACGCATTTCTTCTTGACACTCCTCCATACTATGGCTCCTCCTCCTAAAGTAAACACAAACCCTGAGGTGGACTTGCTTTTGTCCCGATCTGTCTGGAAATCAGAAT